AATTCATAGAAAACACTTACCAAGGCTTCATATTCACCCGGTTACAAACTCACACCTATGGCAACGGAGATAGTTTGCTGTTTTGCTCAAGGGGGTATTCCAGAAAACGGTTTAAATAACCGCTGAACTTATCCATGAACTGCGAGTTGACTAACCCTGAGCTGCTCAGAGTAAATGTAATTAACTCTGAGGTGATTCGCTTAGAGTTAAGCGTATGCATGATGACTGTTCAGCAGATTTGGAGTGTTTTTAATGGATGATGGTGTGCTAGAATCCAACTGATATAATGCAATTATTCAGCTGTAAGCTGATGGGGACAAAAGCAACAGCAGAGGAAATCAAACAGGAGAGAGAAGTTTCTTCATAGAGCTTTGACCTCAGCTCAGTCTGACCCAGGAATAATGATGTTGGTGGTTTATAGGTGGAAAAGCATCACAGTTAAAACAACAGCATTTTTAGACATCAATTATATATGTTAAAATCTTTCTTGGTTACTTTTAATAAACATACAGTATTTAAACATGCAGTGAATTTAAACATAGCCATTGGAATGCTGTTAAAACAAGCTAAAGTTATATGCATATTAAAAAAACTACTTTTAAAGTACAGTGCATTTCATCCAGTATTATAATGTTCAAGTTTAAAGCTGCACTACAATCACAAAATCCTCATTATATCTAAAATAGAAGTGTTCAATAACAACACAAAATATTATTTGTAGAGTAGTGTCCTATGTGGCTATAGCCTCACATCTTTTATTTATGTAGGAATGTACAGTAGATGCTTCTCATTGCCAACTGGACAGTTGTCTTCATGTCCACAGTGATAGAAGGACAGACAGTATATGGATTCTGAGCTGAGGATGAATCTATGCTAGGCTACTGGTATTTACACTAAGGACTGATGATGTTAGTAAGGATTTGTCTTGGGTAACAAACTGTTAAGCTAACATCTAACTAAGATTTTTATCCTCTTCTGCTGACTTCAACTTTAGATAATTAATACGCTTCAGTGTGTTCTTTAATACGGACTGTATGAATGAGGAAATGAAACAGCATGTCAGACTCTGCAGGAGGGATGAGACCGAGAGAAAAGCTGAGTTTGTTGAAGAAAACCTGCCAGCGAGCAGGTTAGATTCACAGAGTAAGTTACTGCAGTAACTGACTCAGTTCAAGTGCATGATCTCCCTTTCTGGACCTGGAAACCCAAGAGTTTTCTCAACTCGGTGAAAAAACTTTCACTTAACCTGCTTTTCTGGAATACCCCATGGGATACTTCAACATCAACAACATTGGTGAATAATGTATTAGGTATTATGGGTTTTATAATCAGAGAATGAAACATGAAACTGTATTATGGTTTTTAAAAGTAACGGTTACATAAATTCACACCTGTGTAGCTGCTGTTCCAAATAATCATGTGCCAGGTAATGTCTCTGTAGCTGATGTTTTGCTCTGTGCAGGAAAGTGATGTCACACAACATTTACTTTGTACTATGTTTAATAAGAAAATAAAACAATAGTTATCTCAGTGGAAATTATCTTTATTCATATATTTTATCAGTATATATGTTATATTTATATATATTTTATAATATGTTTAGGTTCCACATAATGTGACCTATGGAATTAAAAAGCTATTCTGCACACATTGTTCTGCACAATGCACAGGCATGACCTCCATTAAGACAGCAGTGGCAATGCTCTTCATTTCATAGAACCCATGGTTAAATATGTTACCATCAGAGTCATATTGCAAGCAAAATAAAATTTAAAAAATCTTGCGGGAAGACTGAGTTACAACCCTGATAGACGTTTCTGGCTTGTGGCATATTGTCACAAATCCGATACCCTTTTTATTCCTGGCATGCGACTGCCTGCATTATGCTTAGCATACAGTTTTGACTTGGTTTCCCTTTGCTTAGAGCATGGTCATGATGTGCCTCTGGCACTGAACAGGGGTAGATAATGGAGCAACTCTCAGATAATGTTTGTACAGACTACAGCTGCATGCCGCTGGCAGACAGGACTTCCGGGTAGCCTATATAGAGAGAGAGATAGAAATTCCCCACTCGCCCCACTTCAGGGCGGTCTTTGATACTACTTTCTTATCATCCTCGTGCTAGTCTGTAGAAAGAGCTCATGTAAAATTTCAGTTGGACAGTAATTTACAGATGGTCCCTATCCGTATGCTCAGGTGAGGTAGGTGAGATTTTGTAGCCTACTCAGATAGTGAGCACTGAACAGAAGTCTTTTGAGGCTCTTGATTATCCCACATCAAACCAATTTCACCTCGATGTGTTACACACTGAAAACCTGTGTCACCGCCTCATTTACAGTTAAAATCGGCATTCGTATAGTTTCAGTTTCGATTGTTCAGTGATGTGACGTTTAGTGGAGAAAATGAAACCTACAGACCTATAAGTCATCCAGTTCGAAAAAGAGGAAACGCAGATCTGAGAGCAGAATTAAGATGGAAGGTAGAAACTACGTCGGTGAGCTACACGAACATGCACAGAAAAACAACTTGAAGCTGCGTTATGACCTAGATGAAGTTGGCCCTGACCATATGAAAACGTGAGTAGACATTTGTGGTACCTTGTAGACTACCCGCCTTTGTTATTCTGCCGTGTTTGCGCTCCACCAAGGAGGACATTTGTGTGGGAGAGATTTGTAAAGGGTTACATGGGTGAGTGGTGGTGGTTAACCACAGAAAATCAGCTAATCATCATTATTTATTAGGACTGGTGGTCCTAGAATATAAAGTCATCTCATACAACTAATGTATCAACTCACACATTTGACTCTTTTAATGACACAATAAGGGATAGATTTTTCTCTTACACGTTAATGCAGCAGGTAATATGGGTGGAATAACCTGTTGCATAGCTCTGGATCAATTTGCCCCATGTTCTGTAAAATCTTCCTTTATAAAGTGAATATTAAATTTGTGACCAGATAAAAGTAATAGAAGAGAGATATGAAGTTGTACAAAATGGGAAGACTTGAGGACCAATACCTAAAAGTAAAGTGTCTGAAAAAACCCACAGGTTGAACTGTAAATTTCAGCCTTTGATTGTAGGCAGTGTAAAAGGTTGTGTCAGTTCCTGGAGTTCGAACATTGCCTCCTACAGGCTGAAAATGATAGTGTGCATATTCACATAGTTCACCCACCCCACTATGATCAATTCAAGTCAGTATGTCTGTACAACAAAGATCTGTCCATTCCTCTACAGATTCACCCAGAAGGTAGTACTAGATGGTGTAACCTATCCCGAAGGTGAAGGGAAGACCAAGAAGGAAGCCAAGTGTAAGGCAGCTAAAAATGCCCTGCAATGCATACGGGAGAATAAAGAGAAGAAGGAAGATCAGGATTCAGTTGTCTCAGTAAGATTATTGTTCTCTTAGAACATGGAAGTATTTAAAAGTAATTAATTCATGCCAGATGTCTTCTCTTGACAGACAGAAAATGCAGCAGAAGCTTCTTCTTACAGCAGTAGGACGGGAAGCCCGAGTGTGAACTCGAAAGACAGCGGCTTTACAGAGACAGATTTCATTGGAATTGTCAACCACTACTGTCAGAAAACAAAGTGCAGCTATAGTTTCTTTGAAGATAGGAAATGCGGCCCACCTCATGACCCTCAGTGAGTTAAACCTCAGTGTCTGTATTCTGAACCTTTTTAACGTGAACAGACACTTTGTGTTAACTCTTAAATGATGTTCGTATGAAAACAAAATGCTAACACAATAATCTGCACTGTTTCCTCTTTCTCAAAACCATCACAGATTTTGCTACAAACTAGTGATCAACGACAAGGAATACCCTGTGGGTGAGGGGAAGAGTGCCAAAGAAGCCAAACAAAATGCTGCTAAGCTGGCCTGGTCTGCTCTTCAAGAACAGTCGGACTGGGACAGTAAGGTATTTCATATTTTCTTCTCCCTTTCTAGCATCAAATATAGTTTAGTAGAACAGTAGGCTCAGTAGACTAACTACCAGACGATAGTTGGTATCTCTTACCAACAGTGAGGCAGCAGATCTCAAAACCAGCTTTTGAATAAAATGGTAACATTACAACCAAGTCAAACATCTATTCTGTGCATTATAGGTGTCCTCCAGATCAACTGTGTCTGAAGATGGTGCACCACCACCAACGCCATCAAATGAAGTGTACGGTGCTTATTGACATTAGTTGGACATCAGATTTTAGAGATAAATACTGAGATAAGCTGTACTCATACGTCTCACTGTATTACTCCAGGGAGTCCAGTGAATCATCAGCACAAAGTGTGTCGGCAAGTGCAAGCGACTCAGTTATATTCACCAGTTCTTCAAACACTTCCAAGTCTCAGGTCTGTTCTCTCATCATTGTAAAAAGAATTAAAGTAGGCTACAGACTAGAAGCAACATTGTACTGTAAGAGCAAGAAGATTTAGTTTTGGTACATGTTAACATGATGAAAGATT